GCCTCTGGGGTGAGGCCAAGTATCTGGGCTATAACATGTTCTGCAAGTGACGTTTATGCACATCAAAGAGAGAAGGCAAGAGGCTTGCCCTCTCTCCACTCTTTGGATCCAACGTTAGTGGTATCTGTTGAGACACATAAAGGTCCCTTAGTCCCCAGAGGTGCCCTACCTTGCTGTGAGGGGCAGACCACATGCTGATCACAGGTTCTGGCACAGAGCAGGCACCTGATACCTATGGAATGAATGAACGTGCTATGGCCCCCACGTACCCTCTGCATCTCCTTACACTCTGCGCACCTCATGCGGTCTGTTATGGGCTAAACTATCCCCTACAAGTTCTTAAAATGAAACACTAACCTGTAGTACCTGCGAAAGTAACTGTATTTGGAGGTAAAGTCTTTTTTTTTTCCCCCATTTATTTTTATTAGTTGGAGGCTAATTACTTTACAATATTGTAGTGGTTTTTGCCATACATTGACGTGAATCAACCATGGATTTACATGTGTTCCCCATCCCAATCTCCCCTCCCGCTTCCCTCTCCATCCCATCCCTCTGGGTCTTCCCAGTGTAAAGTCTTTAAGGACATAAGACATAATTCAGTTCAAAGGAGGTCATTAAGGTGAAGCCTAATCTCACATATCTGGTGTCCTTATAAGAAGGGGAGATTAGGACACAGACACACATAGAGAGCCCGTAGGAACAGAGCACAGGCAGCCATCCTCAAGCCAAGGAGAAAGACCTCAGGAGGAACCAGCTCTGTCAACACCTTGGTCTTGGACTTCTAGGCTACAGAACTGTGAAAGAATAAATCTCTGCTGTTTAAGCTACCTAGTCTGGGGTACTTTGTTATAGCAGCTCTAGCAAACTAATAGACTACACCCCCACCCCACACCCACACCTTGGAGTGGTTTATACAGAGCTTGTGTGTGCTCAGTCATGTCTGACTCTGGAACCTCATAGACTACAGCCCCCCAGCCTTCTCTGTCCATGGGATTTTCCAGGCAAGATACTGGAATGGGTTGCTATTCCCTTCTCCAGGGTATCTTCCCAATCCAGGGATCGAACCCACATCTCCTGCATCTCTTGCACTGGTAAAGTGTTAGTAGCTCAGTCATGTCTGACTCTTTGCGACCGCATGGACTGTAGCCCGCCAGTCTCCTCTGTCCGTGGAATTCTCCAGGCAAGAATACTGGAATGGATAGCTATTCCATTCTCCAGGGAATCTTCCCACCCCAGGGATCGAATCCTGTTCTCCTGCATTGCAGACAGATTCTTTACTGTCTGAATCACCTGGGAAGCCCATTATATAGAACTCTGCCCAGAGTAACTGCTGGTTCCCATAGCAACATGCCACTGGCCTTGAGAGCGGGGTTAGTGCCTGAGACTTTCTGTGATGGCCCATTTGTGTGGAGCTCCTATGCTCAGTCCTGACTCAGGGGAAACTGAGCTCTTCTGTCCAACTATGGAGGGCCTAACACTCTGGAGCCCAGAGTTGTGTTTATGTAACATGTTTGTCTGTGGGAAAATGCCTTTGATCTAGGTTTATTTCTTCATATAAAAAAAAAAAGACCTTCATACTAACAACAATTCTCTCTTTCTTACAGGGCTTCTGGAAAGGTCAAGTGAGGTAATTACGTAGGCGCTTTAAAATGCATTGTCAATGGAAGGTGGGGAGGGGACTATTGTTTTCACTTTATTACCAGTACTATTATTAGCAAACCTGCTCTAGGTCAACAGCTCAGGGAGAGCAACAACTGGGAGCCAACAGTGGAACCTATGCTTCACTCAGCTCCATCACCTGGTAGAATTTAAGGACCTCAGACTCCACCTGGCAGCCATACATTTGGAAACTCGCCAAGGGATCAAGTAAACATGTTTGTGTTTTTGTAATTCATTTGTCGTTGTACTTTGTTCTGAGCTTCAGAGCATGCGTATGTGTGCTCCAACTCTGAGCAGACCAAGATAACTCATCAATAATTTGGGTTCCATCTCACCTGTCTCCTTGATTTAAGTTACCTCTCTCCTTCCTACCCTCATTTTTAAAATGCCTGTATCTTAAATAAAGATGGAGACAATCTGATTGAAGATAAAAAAACCCCTTTATTTCTGAGTTTAAGTCATCAGAACCAAGAAATCATGTCAAGGGTTCTGTTCAGCCAGGAAGTGCAGCAGATGGAGTGCTAAATGACAGCAGACAAAACAAGGGAGTGTTTTTGAGCGCTCATTCGTGTAGTTTAGACTCAAAGACTTCTATTTAAGTCAAAGCACATAACAAATGATGGTGATATCATTAAAATAAATATCCCACAGGGACCGTCCCTTCCCCTCCCATATCATAGCACTGACATCATTTTTGCATATGATATCAATGGCATTTTCCATATTCTGCTGAAAGGTCACAGTTCTGTCAGTAATGAGATTCAGCCCCCAGTCAAGCTGTTCCAAGACACCACCGCCCATTTTCAAGACAGTGCTGAGAGCAGTTTCCCAGCAGCATGAATTCCAGAGAGCCGATGTCTCCTTGGGTTTGGGCTACAAGTGACGCTGGGGGAGTCCCCTCCAGAACACTGTGGTCACTGGGGCTGTGGCCAGGCCATCTAGGAGGATACACAGTATCATCCCATACCCAGGAGGGCAGGGCTTCCACAGAGCAGGTAGAGGGCTGATCAGTGGCATCATCTCCGGGCCAACCCAGGAATCCCTGCCAGTGCAGCCGTGGTTATAAAACAATGACTCATTTGTCTGAAGATCAGGAGTTCTTTAGGGTGAAAAAGGACTGGCCCTGTTCCTTGCACAGCTGTGTGACATTAGGTAAATTGTCCAGCGTCTCTGAGCCTGTTTCCCCAACTGCAAGATAGAGATGACAACAGTCTCTCCCTCCTATGGTTGCTGTGAGGCAAAAGATAAAAGCGTGTAAGCCAGTCCGTCATATGTGCCAGCTGCTGTTACCACCATTAATGAGGATTTTAGGGTTAAACTGAACTTGAATATCTGCCAAAATAAGCCACCCCTCCTTTCTCCTGCTAGTATCAGAGGAGTGCATTGGGTGAAATGTTGAATTTGGTGATCTGAAAACAGAAGAAGAGGGAAGAGGATATTGTGAGCATGTATTGGAATTTTCAGAGACTATGTAATCAGTTATACATCTTGATCTCTTTGTAAATGTGGGTCTGTGCATGGGTCCATTCTTGAGCTCGTCTGCTAAGTTCATAAGATGTTTTTCATTTCCCATTCTGCTGTGACCACACACTTGTTGTTGTTCAGTCCCTCAGTCCTGTCCGGCTCTTTGCAACCCCATGGACTGCAGCACACCAGGCTTCCCTGTCCTCCACCATCTCCTGGAACTTGCTCAAACTCATGTCCGTTGAGTCAGTGATGCCATCCAACCATCTCATTATCTGTCGTCCACTTCTCCTCCTGCATTCAATCTTTCTCAGCATCAGGGGCTTTTCTAATGTCAGTTCTTCACATCAGGTGGCCAAAGTATTGGAGCGTTAGCTTCAGCTAAACACACTTGTTAGGTTTATATTAACAACCATCCCTTCACTTCCCCCAGTACCCAGTGACTTTTTACTGCATTGGAGTCAGATAGAAAAGACCCATCTGATCACTATTAAATCACTATCCTGTTAGTGTAAGGGCTTCCTAGGTGACTCAGCAGTAAAGAATTCACCTGCCAATTCGGGAGACACAGGAGTTGCATGTTCAATGCCTGGGTCAGGATGATCCCCTGAGGAAGAAACAGCAATCACTCCAGTATTCTTGCCTGAAAAATCCCATGGACAGAGAGAGGAGCCTGGCAGGCTACAATCTCTGGGGTCACAAAGAATCAGACACAACTGAGCACAACAACAACAAAAACAACCAATGTTAGTGTAAATGAAGGCAACCTGTGAGCCCAATTCTCACCCCCAAGAGTGCTTGCCTTTCAAAAGAGAAAGCGCATGCATGTGTGAGAGAGTCTTTTGTTTAGTTTGTATACATCATTCCCCTGATACACTATCTGATTTCAGTAGGACAAGTGATGAAAGCTCTCCCAACATCCATGTGGAGAGAGGGAGAAATATAGACAGGAAAAGAGCACAGTTCTATTTATATCTGGGTTCAGTGTCCCTGATCAAAGAATGCTCACAAAGGAAAAGCAGGCACGAGAGGGTGCTACGCCTGTAAAGGATCACAGGAATCTTTCTGAGGCCACATCCTGGCCAACATTTTTATCAGGAACTTGAAGGAAAGCACAGATGGTGTGCTGAATAGGCTCACAGATGGTTGAATTCTAGCTGACACTTTCTGATGATCAAGACTATTCCATGCTTTTATCTGAACTAAAGGCATGGCACAACAGCTCTCCTGCTCAGGCCAAACCATGTGCCAGGCAGTTTGCACATGTTGTCTCTAGCCCTGCAAAATAGGGACTTTTGTCTCCAGATTATAAACAAGGAAATGGATGCTCATCATGGTTAAGAAACTTGATGGGATCCCACAGTCAAGTAGAAGGACAGAACAGGAACTTGAATCCAGATCCACATAACTCCAGAGCTTCTGTTCTTCCTGACCTCACTTAGCCTGTGACAGTCCTGCACTGCCCTTTAAAATAACAAGCGTATGAGTCGTATTGGGGTGGGGTTGTCTGGTACATATAGATGCAGAAGTATTTGTGGGGAGAAAAAACGAGCAAGTAGGGGGAAGGAAGAGAGGGTGGGACGATGTCCTCTTTAGTCTGTGCTATGGATCTTGACCAGTGGGAACCAGCTGATGACATTAATTTGGGAGATGGAGGCACACTCATTCTTTTTAAACAATTTCATTGTGCAGAAAGTATTCAGTGTAACCCAGGGAGGTGGGTTTTAATGCAACATGAGCTGAAACTTTCTAAAATAATGAACATTGTTTGCACATGCAGCAGGCTCCCAACCGAGGTGATGTCTTGTCCATGGACCTTCCCAAGCAGGACCACATCACTGCTCCCTGTGGAGGACCCCAGGACAGAAGCAGTGGACATGACCTCTACTTTGTGAGTCACAACCCTACATCTGAGTCTTTAGCGCTTGAATTGGGGAGATATTTTGTAGTAGAGGGATTTCTCTCTATCCTTAAATATACCACATAGCTTTCTGTCTCCTCCACTGAATATACAGAAGTTATGAGATAGAGATGGCTCCTCATTAGACCAAATGCCAACAAAACAGTGGCCTAATTTAGTCCTTGGTTTGAAGGAAAGGACTCAAAAATCCCTCAAGCAGGCTTCTGGGGAAAATAAAAACCCTCGAAAGTACAGCAGGGGCTCTTTGGAGAAGCACAAGATAGGCTTTGTTCAGTGCCTGCCAGTCTGTGCCAGAAGCAGTGAGCAAATGGAAAAATGTCCCGACAGACCATGTTTATCACCCAGCCGCTGGCATTCTCCCGATTCCTCCATAGAGCTTCTTGCAGGGAGTGTGCATGCTGATGGATTTAAGCTATATGGAGATTTCTTTCCCGTTTAATCTTTAACGCAGTAAACCAGGAAGAGCTTTAGACATCCTCCCAGTAACTGGAATACTAACAATGAAATACACCAAGACCACAGCCTGCTTGATTATTTCCTAATTTTCTCTTTATGCCTGTTCCAGCTCAGAGATCCTGCCAGATGCAGAAAGCTTCCTTCATGGCAGCACAAATAGTTTCCATTTCCCAGTCAAGAGCCAGCATCCAAGACGAGCTTCTGATTTGACACTGAATGAAACAAAAGATGGCCCAGAACTTGATGGAAGCCAGGAAATGGAGGCCCAACTGCCAGAAAATCTCTGCAACATCCCAGAAATCCCCATGGGCAGAAAAGGTACACTGGCTACTCTGTGCAAGCAAGCATGCTTGCAGTACAGCCTCCAGCTATTTTTCTCTCCAAAGTTTCTTCAAGTTCTCGGTGAAATTTTGTAAAAATACATTCCATGTTACACTCCAAATAGTCTTCTCATTCATCTGTCTTGGACTTCATAAAGTCAACCTCCATTTAGTTTTTCATTTTACTTCTTAATTCAGGAAACATACATTGAGCATCTTATAATTCATTCATTTGTTCAACATGTCTTGAATACCCAGTACAAGCAAGAACAGGCTTGGGTTAAAGAGATTCATACAACACAGTTTCTGGTTAGTATCATATCCCTGACATATTGAACCCTTACTAAATGCTCTGCATTTTCTAAGAGTTTTCACCTACATGCAAAACTTTCTCACCTGCAGATTTCTAACCCCACCAGCTTTTCAAAGCCATAGCCAGATTTCTACATATCTGTTAGATTTAGTCTTAGCCTGAATGTCCCTCTGACACCTCAACTTCAACATGTTCAGAGTTGAATTCATGCCCTCATCCTTTTAACCTCCTCATCTTCATGACTCCAGTTTTTTGTTAGAGCTATATGCTCATTCCATGGGCTTGGGTTCAAAGGTATCTCTGATGTTCCTTTCCCCTTTACTCAAGACAACAGTGACTTTCACCTCCAAAATGCCTCTCAAGCATCTATTTTGTTCCACTTCTACTGATAACATTCAAGGACAGGACAAGAGCCCTGTAGTTCTTGCCTGGACTGTTGTAGTAGCTCCTCAACTGGTGACCATCTTCATGTTACCACATCCTGGTCCATCCTGAACTTTGCCACCAGAATAATCTCCCTAATTTACTTTCTCACAATGCCACTTTCCTACCCATTACTGGTGCTATATTATTCTTGAGTAGCATATTCTCTATAACACAGCCTTAAATTCCACTTCCCCTCAATATTCTCTGTGCCCATGGAAACTGGTCAAATATCCTTTACCAGATCCTCTCTAGGTTTTTCTGCTTCTGTGCTTTTTCCTACGCTGTTCTCCCTGCTTGGTGTCCCTTTCTAGTTTCTGCTGCAGATCTTTTCCCAGCCTTAGCCTTCTAGCCCAGATCCTCCATGAAACTTCCTTATCACCTCTCTGATAATAAGTACTCTCTCCTTCCTCGAACTCTCAGTGCACTGATCGCATTTCTCATGTTCACACAACACTAATCCACATGCCATCTTCCCTTTCACAGTCTGAGCTTCATGAGGTCCCCTCAACCACAGAAAGGGACATCTGTTCATTAAACGTCAGTTTGCACAAGGGGGTAAATGCACAAAATCTTTTTTATGAAAAGGGATGAGTAGAGAATGAAAGATCAAGAATGAAAGATCACAGGTACAAAAAAGGAAATGGTAGGAAGGAGAACATTATATAAGAGAAAAGGATTAAATCAAGGGATATTCTCTTAGACTTGAGAGTTTTCACTTCTCAAGGAAGGATGAATTGTGGAGGAGAGGTCCAGGCGCTGATATGAACGGAGGAAGGAGCCCTGCTTCTGCTGTGAGGAGGGAGGGGTATGGCTAGTCAAGGAATGCACACCCCTCCCTCTGTGGCTTGAGCAAGTCACCCTCCAAGTCCATTTCCTCCTGTGTGGACCCAGGAGAAGAGCCACATGTAGCTTGTATGTCTGTTGTGAGGAGCATGTGAAATAATGTAGGTTAAGAGCTGAGCACTGTGCCGGGCCCTGTCATGAATTAATGTGGGTACATGCTGCATTGTGGTTGAAAAGGGGGAGCTGAAGGTTCAGGAGTCTGGAAATGGCAGGAAGTGTAAGAGAGATGTAGACCACAAGCTGTAGAAGATCATTAAAATTGACAAGTGAGGTCACAAATGGGGGAGGGGTGTGATTAGGCAGCAATATAAGTGATTAAGACAGTCTCTGCCTTTATCTAGGATGTGAAACAGAGGAATTGGCTCTTGGTTAATACTTGCCAGCATGATAAGGTAGTTTGGGTGGGCGTTTGTAAGCAACTGGCTATAATAAGAAGCTGTTGTGGAGAATGATACTACAGAAGTGAAAAGTTGCTTCTCTGCTGAATGCATTTCCCTTTGTTGTATCATCAGTAAGCCTTGTTTCTTAATTCTTTCCTTCCTAGGACTCATCACTCTCTTCCTCCCTAGACTTTTGTTTTAACACCCATATTTAACTTTATTTTATTATTGCCATTTAAAGCTTGATTTTATGAAACACAAAAAGACATTTTTAAGAGTTCTGTATCACAGGAATATAAGCGGTACAGTTATCCATAGACTCATAGTATAAACTCAAATAATTGGATTTTTTTCAATATAGAAACTATGCAAATGAATAAATGGCAAAAGGAACTGATGCCTTTTAGCAAATCTTTTTCCTTTTTCTTTTTTCCCAAAGAGCCTCAGAACCAGCATTAGGTGCTTTATTTATTTATTGGCCATGCAGCATGAGGGATCTTAGCTCCCTGACCAGGGATCCAACTTCGACCCCTGCATTATAAGTGCAGAGTCTTAATCACCAGACAGTCAGGCAAGTCCCACAAACTTTATTTAATTCTTTCCTCCCTAGGATTCAGGTACTGTCACAGGAACTTCAGAGTACATGAAGGACGAACTTCAATGCCAGAGCTCCCTGGCCATCATGCTGCTTCTCCTGCAACCCACCTGGAGGTTTACATTTCCCTGGAGCATGGTGATTTGGGGATTGGAAAGAGAAACTAAAGACAACTGGCCACCCAGGGGAGAGAACATTCAATTCATCAGAAGCAGGAATTCTAGGACATCTATTGTTGTTGGTCAGTCACTCAGTTGTGTCCAACTCTTTGTGACTCCACGGACTGCAGCACAGCAGGCTTCCTTGTCCTTCACTAACTCCCTGGAGTTTGCTCAAACTCATGTCCGCTGAGTTGATAATGCCATCTGTGTGTGCCAGAACATCTACAGTGAGAGTTATTTAGCCCCTGCAAAAGATTCCTCTGTCATTTTACAGGACCCAGATCTCCCTGTGAGATTTTCAGTGTCCTGGGAGTGCTAGGGGGCAACTGAGTAATTTTCCAGCCTACATTAGTACAATTGCAGATTAACACTAAACCTGAGAGTGTTCCAGAGACCTAATTAGAGGTTCCTGCTGGCCTGACCCACTGGCAGTGACCTTGTCAAGCAGTAGGCTGGAGAAGACCCTTTCTGCCTTGGGAGGTGATTCAGTATGGGATTCATTTTCTCCTTCTGAATTGCTTGTCAGGATCAAGAGGAGAAAACTAACTCGAGGCACTCATTTCATGTGTGTTTGGTTCATTGGCCTCTAATGGCCGATAGATGCATGATTTAACTCGGGGAGACCAGAGGCAACACCTTTTTAACAGAAGCAGTTGGTTGAATTAGAACTGCAGGTTGTTGAACAGAAGGCATAGGCTCATGGTTTTGGATTTTTATTTCCTTGTTGTTCCTCGAGGTGTGCCCTGCTTCTATAGCAGCTCCCTGCAAAACAAACACCAAACACAATTTTCCCCACCCTCCTTTTTTTTGTAAAAGTGGAATCCCTTTCAGATTTCTTTCAGTTAGAAAAAAAATAGGTACAAATGTTAAGTCTTTCTTTAAAAAATAAGTGGCATAAAATGAACTTTGAATAAGCAGAGGATAGTTGTATACAGATATCCATGTATACATGTACACAAAGAGTCCATAGAAAGCTAATTTTAAGCAAAGTCTACTAGTTGTAAAATGTATCCCTAGGAAGCTAAATAAATTGATTTGCTGTACATGGATTTTGGATAAAAGCCAACTAAAGCTCCCAGATCTTTTTCACATAAGCTGCCCTTGAATTATTGATTTTTTAGCTCAAACACAGAACTTCACATTTATTCTTGCTATTTCCCACCCATGATTCCACTTGATTGGCTGGCCTGAGTCCAGGGAGTTGCCTCATGTGCCCAATCTTCTAAACAGCTGAATTCATAAAGGACATTCTACATTTAAGCCTATAGAACATTTACTGAAGCCAGTCAACTTTCTTGAATTGACAATGAACAACATACTCTATTTAAAATTTCTTATTTTCATCCTGAATTCAATTTCTTTTTCAGGCAGTTAAAGATCTAAAAAAAATGACTAAATCCTTCTTGAAGTCTCTCAGCACCAAGCAAGCAATAACTGTGTCCCATTCATCTTTGGATGTCTCCAGTCTTTGGTGAGAGAGGGTGACAAATGAGTGCTGAGTGGGGGAATAAAGAGAGAATGAATTAACATATAAATTGGTCTAGAATTTGAACTGAATTTTTCAGCAAGACCAAACCTGATGGGTAAACAGATACAGTAGCACCAAAAACCAGTTAACCAATAATTAATGAATTGATTCATTTTAGTGAAGATCAACTGTTCTCAAATGTGCTTTTCTCCCTCCAACTCCATGACCACCAGCAACATCACCCTCTGGAAATGTTAGAAATATAGATGTGGTGCTCAGTCACATCTGACTCTTTGTGACCCCATAGACTCTAGCCCACCAGGTTCCTCTGTCCGTGGAGATTTCCAGGCTAGAATACTGGAGTAGATTGCCGTTTCCTATGCCAGGAGATCTTCCTTTGACCCAGGGATCAAACTTAACCCACTTCTCCTGTGGCTCCTGCCTTGGCAGTCATATTCTTTACCACTGAGCCACCTGGGAAGCCCTGAGCACCACCCTATGCGTGAGGCTTTCCCCAAACACTCAACATAAAAGAGCAATGACCTCCCCCTTCCTCTTTCTCCCCCAGACCCCCAGCCCCCACACATCCAGCAGTCCAAGTCCCCATCCCCTTGTTCATATTCCTCTGTCACACTTATCACCAACTGGCCTTCAGTTTATTTTTGGCTGATGTATTTTCTGTTACCTCCCACTAGAACACAGGCTTCATCATGGTAGAAGTATTTATAATCTTGGTAGATTCAGTAGTGCCAAGCACTGTGAGCAATAAATACTTGATGAGAGAATGAATGGTTGATGCAGCATAAGTGAAAGTGCTTCAGAAAATGAAAAGATGCCACCATGAACAAGCTCTTCAAATAAGTGGCAGACTGGAGAAATTATTTTGCAACATATATAATAGGCATTCCCAAAATGGTACCTATAGTATATACATTTTTAAAAATCCTAGATATTAATAGGAAAATGATCAGCAGCAACACAATGGAAAAAAATGTGTAGAGAATATTCATAGAAAATTTGCAGTGGAGGGCATATAGTGGTCAGTGACCTGGCCAGGTAACTTGATCTCTGTGTTTAGTTTCCCTCAGCTAGTAAAATAGCTCCCTGCTTCCTAGGGTTGGGAGGATAAAATGAGTTAATATAAATTAACTGCTTAAAAAGGTTTGAATAGCACATACAAAGGCTAGCAAGTATTATTGTTACTGGTATTTAGAGAAATAAAGCAAAATAAAACACCACTTTTTGCCCATCAGATTGTTAAAAATAAAATTAATATGGCTTCTGAGGGACTGATAATATTCTGTTTTTTTTCTGTGTAGTGGGTGCCTAGGGATTCTTGCTGTATAAAAATATATTGAGGTATAACTTTTGATAGGTATACTCTATACACACATAGCCTTTGTTTCATAAATCCACACAAAATTGTTTATTTTCTGGGTACATATCTTATGTAAAATATGAAAATGAGCTTGAATTATACACAAAAAATTCATCAAACTTATGATACAATTGCAAAGTTAGGATGGTGAGTGTAACAAAGTTAGTGGGACCAAAGATGGTGGCTAAAGTGATTCTTTAATTTTAAAAAATGAAAATAAAGAGAAGAAAAAAAGCTAGGAGAAAATAGAATATTAAGTTGATGATTCTGAATGATGAAAATACATGTGTTGTATTTGTTACAGTATTTTTGCTCTTTATTTTTAGGACTCAAAATTTTAAATACATAAGAAAAACAAAATGGTCTAATGAGCAAGATTTTTAAATTAAGTCACTGCTTAATTGGGGGAAATTCTGATTTTTTTTAGATGAGCCGCAAAGAGATGAAGTCATTTTTCTAAAAAAAATTAACAAGAGTAAGATTTCTTTAAAAATCTTCATTAACAACTGAATTTGGAGAATAAAATGATGCAGTAACTTTATTTATCCATCCACCCACTGCTATAATATACTGCAAAAACTTGGACATTCACAATGTCATTTGTTCTACAGTTAGAAATGAAACTGACAAAATCTTGTTTACTTGTAGGGACACTAAGGTCAGAGCTCGCCCACTCTGGCCAACAGAGCTACAGAAGCAAAGACTGGATTAAAAGGATGTGCAATTAGATGAAGTTTGACTTTCTTATCTGAAGAAGAAAAATAGTATTTTACAAACAAGGTGGAAACATTGGGAACCCTCCAGGATTCTTAGTTGTGAACTTCTGGAAAAGCCTGTGTTGGTCTTGGGCAAATAGTCAGCAAGTGCCAGAGAATAAGGGGGAATGTCTGCAGCCCAAGAGATGCATAAACCCAGAGGATGCTCCAGCCAACACAATTGACTTCCTGGTCTCCACACTGAGATAAAACCATCCTTAAGGAAGGATGCCAAAAATAGGAAGCCTTAAAATACAAAGACAACAAACACTGTTTTTCCTGACATTAATCCTCTTGACATGGGCCACCAGGAGATAAGTTATCCCTCGCTTAAAGCACATCTCCCAGAAAAAGAAAAAAAAAATGCAGCATCACCAGTGAACTGTCTGATGTCAGATGGGACGTTTCTGAGGTTCGGGGACAATGGTCCAAAGTGACCAAACAGCTGGATTTCAAGCTTCCACACATTTTCCTGTGTCTCCCAACACATTCCTGGCAGTTGTTAATATCTTTAATTTACAACCAATAATTAAGCGTTTAATTGTTTTTCTTTTCCTGTGTATTTGCTTAGAAGTGCAAGCTATGCTGTTCATTGTTGACTTAGCTTGCTTAGCCTCCGCGGAGGGCCAGCCAAAATTGAACAGGCTGACTCAACCGGTGGAGGGGCGAATTTACGATCAGGCCCACAAAACGTTTGTTTTGAAGACAAAGTCCCCCACGTAAGCAATGAAACCACAATGTACTGGTATGCTGGCTCGCGTTTCAGACAGGATTCTCTCCTTTCCTCTCGGCCGGAAGTTGCTCTTAGCATGTTATCTTAGGAGGAGAGGAAACTGGCCATCCAGCGGCTCCCTCAGTTCTCTAAGGATTTTGCTTCTTGCTCTCATGTGGCCTCTCTTATGTACATTTTGGAAAATGTGAAAATAGATGCATTGCTCAGCTTCCAGAAGGGATGCTGCTTGTAAAGTGCTCCCTATGCATCCAAGGAGAGGTAGCCTCTCCATCCTGTCCTCCACAGGGAGCTGAGTGGCACAGCCACCGCTGCACAGCTCATTTCTTCAAGCCCTGTGTCTTGAGGGGGAAAGAAGGGAAGCAAGGAGGAAGAAAGAGAGAAAAAGAGAGAGGAGGGACAGAAAGAGGGCAGGAAGGAAGGGAGGAGGGAGCTTGAGGCGCCCTGGAGGAGCCTGCGAAGGTGAAGGAGAGGCAGACCAGTGGGGTGGGCCTGCGACTGGAAAGTAGAAGCTAGTTTCCAAGGTCACTGAAAACTGGCTCTGGAGGAAATTCGTGGGGAAAAGTTCAAAAAAACAAACCTCAGTGGGTTTTGAAGTGGTATTTCAGTAGGGGAGCAATCTCATGACCTTAGAGGAGTGTTGCCTATTCAACCTTTACCTTTACTGGGCAAGCTGGAAACAAGAGATCCAGGCAAGATGGCCCATGGGAGGGTTGGTGCAGGAGACTCTTGATTTCACAGCCTCATGCTCAAACTCTGTACCACATGCCTTTGACTGTAGCTCCAACTTAAGTCAAAACTGGAAGCTCCTTGACGACAGGAGGTCACAATGTAGTGAAGAATCAGAAGTTGGACTATTTTGTGTTTGACACGAGGAAATAAACTGAAATGGCCAGTGACCGAGAGAGGGGACCCCATGGAAAGACCTGAAGCTCCATCTCTATTGCCAGAGGGACAGTCGCAATGGGAAACGGAAGCTGCCGAGCTGAGGTCTGATGTAGTTCCTCAAAGATGCCTGTCACAGTTTCCCTGAATTCCACGAGTGGATCTGTGGCAGGGATCACATATGCATAGTAAGTCATTTAGAACACGTGTGACTGGGTACCATGTAGCATTTTAAAGACATATTCTCTTTGGAAATCTCCTTGGAGGTGAGGGCAAGTCCATCTGGAGGGACAGATGGAAGATGCTGAGCCCAAGCCCAGATCTCACTTGCCTCTCTCGCCCCACTGGACCAAGCCTGCTGGGTATCAGTGAGCAAGGGAGCGCATTGGCACAACCCATAGGGTCAGCTCCTGAAAACAGAGCAGGGTAACCAGGGTGGAGAAGGTTTCTCCAAGAGCCAAGGGAGAAAACTCCAGTACTCTGTCTAACTCGCTCTCCATCCTGGGGGCCCCCCCGTAAGTGGCCTTGAAGGCTGAAGGGATTGTTTTTTTTTTTTCTTTTTTTTTTCTTAGGCTGAAGGGATTGACAATCTGTTGTTACAGAGCAGACTGAGGTGGTGTTCAGGCTCATCTCATGGCCTTCCACATCATGGCGCCACCACCCGCCTGCCAACAGACGCCGGAAGAAGGTAAAGGGGTTCTCAGCTCATCTGGGTCCATCCAGCTTGCAGCAGCCTGAGGCCCAGAACCCTGAGGACAATTGGGTCAGCCACAGACAGGGGGAAGCATCCTCCCAACACATCATTCCAGAGCCTCTGAAAGTCCCGATGCAACATCCCACCAAAAAGGCTCCCAGAGGCTTCTAAAAGCCTTGCCGCAGGCTCCTTGACCGTCCAGATCAGCTCACATCCTCACATTTCAGTCCAACAATCCTCTCTCAGACCTTTGGCCTCATAGGCCCTTCTTGCCCCACTGACTTGATGACACATGAGGATGTGGTTTTCAGTCACCCTTAAGTCTTGGGCCAGACAACAACTTTTGTCTCTGGCTGTCTGGACCCCTTCATAGCACGTGGGCGTTCAGAGGAGAAAAGCCTCAGTTCTGAAAGATCCCAGCTTGTTGAGGCTTCCCTCCTGCCAGGTTCTCCCTCCGTTCCATGGAATGAAAGGTTGGAAACCAGAGCTGAGAAGACCACACAGTTTTCTCATCCAACCGTCTCCTCCTCTGCAAGGATCTGAGGCTACTACTGGTTCACACAGGGTCACGCAGCCAACAAAGCTAAGCTGCTGCTGCATGAGTGGACCCAACACCCAGCCCAGAGCTCTCTCTACTAGGCGACGTTCTCTCCAGCTTTTCTAAGGAATACATCCTTTGAGAAAAGTCATAGCCATGACCCTGTTTTGCCACTTTGGAGGATGTCATGGGGCCGACCCCACTGCTCTCTCATGCTCCCTCCCCCCGGCGTCTCTCTGCCCTCCTCCTCCTGCCGTCCCTCTCTTTACCCCTCCTCTTCTTCCTTCTGGTCATCACTGCCTCTCCTTCTGTCTAAGTGTTTCCCCCTTCAATTGCTTGCAAGAGATTTTGAGAGAGTGGAGAGAGAAAAAGCAAAGAGCAGGCAAGATTGGGGTGGTGGGGGGGGGGGGTGTTGGTTGGAGAGGGAGGAAATACCCGACTGTACTTCGAATAAATGACCTCATTTCCCAGGGAGTCTGTTTATGTGACTGTTTGATCGCACTCTATAACAAAGTTCTCCACATTCCAAGGACTAGAAAGCCCATCCGGGTGCTCTCTCTTTAATTAAGTATACCACTCTTGATCCACTCTAGAAAATTTTTCTAGAGTGACCACATCTCTTCTCTGTTGAAGCAGTCTGGAAGAGTGGGGTGGGATAGAGGGCTGTGAGGGAAAGGGAAGGCCAGCTTAAAGCTGTTGCCATGCCTGACCTGGTCCCCTCGTGACACCACACACCACTCCCTGGGCACAGCCGTCCTCACGGCAGCCCAGTGCCATGACCTGCCTCTGTATCCTCGGTCACTCCTTTCCCCAGGCCCCTCCTTTCACCGATTGGGGCCTGTTCCCTTAAAGATCGATCCTCTGACCTCTAATCTACTCACAGATTTGTTTTGGCAATCCCTAAAATCCTTCTGGAGAAGGCAACGGCTACCCACTCCAGTATCCATGTCTGGAGAATTCCATGGAGAGAGGAGCCTGGCCAGCTACACAGTCCATGAGGTCGCAAAGAGTCAGACATGAGTGACCTTCACTCACTCACTCAAACTCCTTCTAGCTCTAACCTTCTCTGAATCTCAAGTAAGTTAGTTGGAACTTTCTTGGTAGTCTAGTGGTTAAGACTCCAGTCTCTCAATGAAGGGGGCCCAGGTTCGAAAGCTGGTTGGGGAACTAGATTCCACATGCCTCAACTGAGAGTTTGCATGCTACAACTAAAAAAATAAAAAATAAAAAACTTCCTGCATGACTCAAGGAAGGTTGAAGATCCCATGTGCTGCAACTAGGACCCAGAGCAGCCAAATGAACAATAAAAGTACATTTTTTAAGAAAAGTAAATTAGTTAAGGGTGCTGTTTGCACACACACACCAGGGTCATCTTTATCAACTATGCATTTATCATTTCATTTTTTATACATGCATTTTGTTGTTTAAGCTGGAGTGGCAATTCTGAGAGTGCTCACTTCAGCCAATGAACAGAATCCCTAGTATCTGAGTAACAGCTGTATTCAGACAAGTGAAGCCTTTCCAGGGGGCTACCCTGAACCTTACTGTATAGGCACGACACCATACGTGGGCTAAGGTGGGTTCAGTACTCCTTTCGGGAGCCTAGATACTATTCATGACTGCTCCTGAGCAGTCACAATGTGCAATTCAGCCAAAGGACCATTCATACCCTCAAAGTGAAAAAAATGTGTCTTTCTTACTTTCCGAGTGTAGCAGCAGGGTGTTTTATGGAGAACGGTCCCTAAGATTTTTCTGAAGCTACAAAAAAATTGCCACCTGATAATTGCAAGCACATTCTTCTTTCATCATGAAGTCTTGATTTAACATCATAACAGAATGTCTTTTTTTTTTCTTATGGGAAGAGCTGTTAGATTCTGTCATCTTACTTCATTAATTTGATTATTCAATATCAACTAATGCCAACATTAGTTTCTAGGCTTGTGGTGGTGAACAGAAGTGTCACCACCACCCCAAAACTTGCAACACAATGATGCACAGATACAATCAAGGAACCAAACACATATTTGATTGTTTTGAAGGAAATAAACAGGATCCGTGATGGTAGCAACAGAGAAGGAGCAATTTGGACAAGGGGTTCATTGTTCGTGGAAAGTGAAGACCCAAGGAGTGAAAAAAAAATGTCAGGCAAGTATAACAGGGAAGGGAGGATGTCCCAAGCAAAGGAATGTTCCAAGCAAAAGAAATAGCATGCACAAAGGGCTGGGCTGCCATGGGAGAGGCTTACCTTGTTGAAGAAAATGAAGGAGGTTTGTGTGACTGAGTAGTGCGTGAGGTGGGAAAATAGGAGTTCAGAGAGGTAGACAGAGATTCAATGACATAGCACAATGTAAGCCATGGAAATGGGTTTGTACTCTATTTGCATGCAGAAGCAAAATGGCTTTTGAGAAGTAAGAGCGAGGCCGGAGTGTATGATGGAGATTATTGCATCTCCCGCAATGGCAGGTGGATTCTTTACCCTTGTGCCACCCGAGAAGACCATGATGGAGACCAGTGGGAGGCAACTGCTAGGTCTGGACAGGAGATGGTCCCATGACCACTGGGATGGAGTGAAGTTAGCTGATATGAAGTGGTTTGGCTCCTGAAGGAGAAGATACAGTAAGACTTGCTGAGGCATTCAATGAGGAGGGTGAGAGGAGGGAGAAATTGAGAATGAAATGCAGATTGTTGGCAGGAAAACCTGAGTTCTTGGAGTACCATTCATGAAAATAAAGAAGGTTGGGAGAGTAGGAATTTGAAGAGAGTGTGGGATGAGTCAGGATTTTCATCTGCAGGTGGACTTGAGTCATTCTATGTTTAAGCAGCCTGTGCCTGTTAACTGTTGCTTGTTCCTGTGGATATACATGCCTGCTAT